GAGAGAGAGAGAGAGAGTGAGAGAGAGAGAAGCAACAATGATGAGACAGAATCATTGATTGTCTGCCTCCTGCACGCCCCCTACTGGGGATCCCGCCCATAATCCTGTGCCATGTCCAGGAATCGAACCATCACCTCCTGGTTTACTAGTATAGCTCGATAAACACACTATTGCCGGCTGGGCTATATGTCACTTTTAATGTCTGCTGTTTTGAAATATGTAATCTTTTCAATACACCTAATAAGGAGGAACTTTTATAAGACCCTTGCCACGGATGAGGAAACTGAGGTTTAGAATAGTTCAGTAACTCGCCTAAAGGCACACAACTAGTCAATAGTCAAACCAGGACCAAAGCTGGTGGTCTTCCCAGTAAGTTACTAATGTCATGGCCAGGTTGGCCTGCTGCCTAACCAAAGTGAAGTGTGTCCTGCCTCCCCAGCACACCCAGCAGTGTGTCCTTATGAGGGGAAATGTCTTATGTCTCTCAACCTGGGATATTACTGTGATTTCGTTGTGCAAGTTGCTGGGTGTGCTTGTGGGTAGAGATGGTCACTGGAGATGCTCTGGGACAGCCTGTGCCACCCCTGAAAAATCAACAGACAGGGAGAAAGCAGAAGCCAAAGACTGCTCTGTGGGAAAAGCTGAGAGCCATACTTGACGGAGGGCGACCCCGGGAGGTGATGCTGTTAGCAGGAGGGGTATGAGAGCAGGGTTTGGAACCTGCCACTTATCAGTTGGGTGACCTTGAAGAGTGATTCTCTCCTCCACAGGGTCCTACTTTATTCAATTGAAAAACGGGGCTGTTCCTGTACTGTTGTGAAGCTGTTCTGAGGATTTAATAAGCTGACATAAAGCACATACTGACATTGTGACGTAGCTTGCACGGTATCTGGAGTTGGTAAGGGTGTTGCTATTATTAGTGTGCAAAGCTCTGGCTGCAGTTAGAAGCTGACTCGGGGCCTGAGGAAATGCCAGGAGAGCCTGGGTCTGGGATGAGGGGGGCTCCACTTCCCCTTATTTTCATGGACAACTACATACTACCTCCCTCAGAAGAAAGAAGACGCTGTGCTTTCCTCTTGGCAAAACCCTGACACATGGTGACTGACCTGAGATGTCAGACCAGCCTAACTGTCCCCTCCGTGAATGGAATGGCCAACGGTGAGTGAGTGCTGACCTCCACACTGGCAGGAGCTTAAATGACAGCGAGGCCAGCACGGCGTCCACTTTCCAGGTCAGCTGGTCCCTCCTTTGCTGCAAGAGGGGCAGAGAACCCTGGAATAAAACTCACCCACAGAACATTCGGCAGAGCGAGCACCTGCATAAACAAAGTCAGAGGAACTGCCTTTTTTTATTTTCCAAAAAGGCTCCGGATAATAAAGAGTCGAGTGGAGCAGAGTGTCAAGTAAACAAAACAAAATCACAATAACCCACCATTTACTTGAGCACATACTATGTGCCGGACCCTGTGTGTAAAAGCTTCGCAGGTATTATCTGACTCAACCCTCACAGTTACCCTACAAGGTGGAACTTTTCATCACCCCATTTCGCAGATGAGCAAGCATTTGGAACTCACAGGAGCACTGAATGGCAGAGGCAGGATGCAGACTGGGGTCTCCTCTGGCTCAGTGCCCACAGGCAAGGAAAACCAGAGGTCAAAATGCTGGGTTGGTCTCGGGTTCTGGCCTCTTCATCCCTGCCTACTGGTATAACCTCAGGTGTCTTTTGGGGAAATAGAGTCAGGTGACAGTGCCCTTCCGGAGTTGGGTCCCAGGAGCTGAGCTGAGAGCTGGGTTTCACACACGTGGGTTTAGTAATATAAGGATGAGGCTTAGATACAGAGGCCAGAGCAGGCCATGAGCTGTGAGAAGCAGGAAGAAGCCTGGTCAAGGAGCCATTTCTCGTCCATTATTAACCCCGCTGTGGTATTTGTGAAACGAGGGTGGTGGGGAAATGCAGGTGAGACGAGATGGCCACCGAGGCACCTTCCAGCGAGGAGCTGCTGCTGTGCCCTGGAGGAGGCCTGCAAGATCTAACAATCCCCTAAGCAGATGTCAGAGGCACCGTGTTCTTAGGAATCTTTGCAAATAACACACTCGATTTTGCCAAGATGAAACAACCACAAGAATGCACTTCACTTTGCCAGAAAAAAAATTAGCTACAAGGATAATTCATGCATGTAATGTTCTCATCTTTTATGCCCTATGTAGCTATAAATTAATTCTCAGAAGGACACATTGAGACTACAATGGCAATACCAAAACGACAAGCCTCTTTTCTCCAAGAAAAAGAATGGCTGCCTCCTTATAGACAGGATCTCACTAAAATTCTGTTGCATCCATACCAGACTCATTGGCAATTGCATGTGAAAGGAAATTTGAAGGTCACTAATTTGACTCTCCATTGGATGCCTAAGTCCCCTTGAAATGTCTCTGAGGGGTCCCTAGGGGAAGCCCGCATACCTTCAGGACAAGAAATCCAATTTCACTCAAAGCTGCCTATTGCATTCATTGGGCAGCTCTGATCTTTCCAAGATCTCTCTTATACTGCCTGCACCTTTAATTCTTGTGGCCACACAGACCTGCCTAAACTTCTCCACACAGCCCTTCAAACCTGTGGCCCCTGAGCCCTTTCTTCTGCAGAGCTGTCAATCATTCTGGACTTATAAACACAACCTGACTGCTGAGGTGTTGTCTTTTTCATGGTCAGTCCTCCTGGTTTTTAAAGACAGATTAGCTCCACAATTATCCCAAGATGATTACTCCTCCAAATAACCCAAAGTGAACATTTTTCAACCTATATTACCAGCAACACTGAAAGCTGATTATAATCAACTTGCTTTCATAAAAAGAAGAAATACATCAGAAAATAAACTTTAAGAGATGCTACTTGCTAAAAGCATCACCAGCGAGCATCCCATGTTCACAGATCAAGAAGAAAGAGCTGTGAATGCTCTCTTCTCCACCCTGCCCACTCCCCACTGGAATTTACATGACCCACTTTCAAATCACAGAACCAAAAAAATCACCTGGCCACAAGCTCACATGTTATGACGTGGAAACCGAAGTCCAGAGATCCCGTCCCTTTCTCCTTGCCATCCCCAAATGTTTAGTAATTCTCTGCACTGGGTTAGGCCCTGGGACATCAAGGCACCAGGTCCCCGAGCAGAGGCTCATAGGGCAAAGCAAGGCAAGGCAAGGGATTTAAAATACCGGGAAGCCTATTGTTGGGACAACCCAATGACAGGCAAGCAGAATCTTTTACAAAGGACTTGGAAGACAAAAGGCTGTTTCCTTTCTCTGCCTTTGCTCAAACTGCCCCTCCAACTGGAACACCTGCTCTCTCTCTCTCTCTCTCTCTCTCTCTCTCTCTCTCTCTCGGCAAACTTATCCTTTAAGACTCAGATCAGGTATCACCCCATGACACATTCTCCTCAATTGCCCCTTTAGCTGTACTCCCCCTTTATGCTCCCACAATCCTCCGTGAAAGCCGCACTCCCTGTACTTAGCGTCATGTGCTCCCTGTGGCAATCTTCCCTATGAGATCCAGGTTCCTGGAGACACCTGAGTGCCATTCAGTTGTATATGTTTGTCTAGTTCATTGGTATGTGCTGGGTTTGATGAGCGAAAACATAAACATTTCAGCAGAATCTGAAGGGTTAACAGGCGTTTGTCTCACACAGAAAGAGAGGAAAGAATCCTAGGCCCAGGAAGCGGCCTGCAGAGGCACTGTGCCCAGGGGGTGGGTGGCTGTAGAGCTGCACAGAGTTCCCAGGGTGGGAATGTTCAGGGTGGCAGAGGTGGGTGTGGGAAAAGTGACTGAGCTTAGGGCTTGGGGTTAAGCTTGGGCCAGATGTGAAGACCATATAAGCCATACTGAAGTGTACAGACATTATCCTGTCATCAGAGTGGGAGGGAATCATCTTCACAGAGGGGAGGGGTGGATCCGATTAGTTGTTAAGGTCACTGAAGTGGCCACATGAGAAAGCGCCGCACTGAGGACAGATGCAAGGTGTGTTTGGAGCCTCGTGCGCCGTCCAGGATGTGGGGAGGGTCTGTATCACGGGCGTTGTGTCCTGAGAGCTCAGGGAGAGCCCAGAGGTGGAAGCACAGTGTGGACGCAGGTTTGGAAGCCCAGGTGGAACCAACGGGACCTGATGAGCAGGTCACCCGGGGTGTGGGAGGGGAGAAAAAGCATCAGGATGGGGTCGGGGCTCCTAACTTGGAACCTCGGGGCAATACCGACAATGTTAACAGCGATACGGAGCTTGGGTGGTAAGATTCTGCGATGATTCCAGTAGGTCCAGAGCTTCATTGGTACCGATTCAAATAACAGAGTTAAATAAAGTGCAAGAAAATCAATCATGAAAACCTAGAGTACAAGACAAATCTTTTGATCCTCACAGTCAGATGGAGCAATAAGATCTATAAACAACTTCATATGAGAAACCTTTTGGTTCCCCAAACTACTAATATTCCTCAACCAGTGAAATTGGCATTTGTATGTAAAACATTCTCTAGGCCATCATATACCATTTTTTTCTTATTTTCTGGACCCAACTATATCATTGTCATACCTTTTAAAAATTATTATTGGCAGCTGGCTAATGTCCTCACACCACTCGGGGGGTCCCCATCACCAGGGAGAATTCATTTTCATTAATGGAGGGGCCCCACACAGCCTTTTTTTTTTAACTAACAATTTCATATTTACTCATCTTTCCTAAATGCAAGAAAGTCTAGATATTGTTGGGAGAAAGCACAGAGACACACTCAGGAATGAATCTGTTCTGCTCCAAACCTGACCCATCTTTTAACCTAATAACATTCTCTCCCCCCCCCCATTTTATATTAAAAGCTCCAAAGAGCAAGCAGTAAACGGAACCCCTATAGAACCAAGGGTTCCACTTAAAGGGACCACGGCAGGACCATCCTGGCCACGTGGCCATCCTAAGCGCGCACGGACTGCTCCGGGTAGAGAGGAAACTGAAACTGCCCGCTCACCCTCTTCCTCAAGTTGTAGGTGAGAATGAGGTTCCGGGAGAAGGAGTGGGAGAAGGCCGTGTAGAACTCCAGCACTTTCTGCAGGGCGTCCCGTTTGATCACGTGAAGGTCACAGTAGGTCAGGGCCCTAACGTTGGCACAGGACTGGGCAAGGGTGGCTTCCTTCCAGAACACATCTCCAAACACATCTCCTTTCCCTAAGGAGAGAAAGTGGTGATGAGGAAGGCGTCGTCTAGGTCCAGGAGGGGTCAGCTATCAAGGTGGTTCCCCCCTGCTCCCCAGAAATGCTCCCCAGAAATGCTGTCCATTTAGTGTTTGGCACCTTGGGCTCAGAAAGGGCAACAGTGATTTTCATTTGAACCTTAACAACATGCAATTTAAGAATCTTTAAAATACCACAAAATACATGTGAAAGTTTTAATCAATGACTGGGATCTAACATGTTATCCCCTGAACATCCTACGAGAATCCCCTGTTATTCTTTAGCACACCTCCCCCCCCCCCAACCATTTTTCCAAAACACAATCATAATCTGGAATTCCATTATGTATTTGTTGGCTTATTATCCGTTGCCCAGCATGAGAATTCATGCATTTTATCCCTCCACGTAACACAGTACCTGGCACAGTAGGAGTTCTCTCCAGACTCAGAGTCCAAATAGAACTGAGGAAAGAAGGGGAACTATGGATATACATTAGGCTATTGTGGGGAGGGTGTGGACTCTTCAGCGGAGCCAAGAACAGGCAAGGTCTCCTCTGTTTAGGATGATCTGTGTGGATGAAGTCAGGGAAGAGTGGGATCCATCTCTTCCCATGGTCTGTCCACTGCCCCGAGGTTCGTTTGTATGGGGCGCCATTCCTCACCTCTCGCCCATGCCTCTTCCGCACTCCTCACCCTTGTCAACTGCCCTCCTGGTAGTATAAAAATATGGTCCCTATATAAATGGCATCTCCAGGACCCTAAATGCTTAGCATTCCATGACAGTGTATTTCATAAATCAACAGAGTTCTAATCCCATGTAGCCATGTTCTGGGTCAAACTTCTATCAGTCTCTAAATATCTGCTTTTCACACGGGGGGATATTCTTCCTACCTTTCCCAGTGGCCAAATGTATATTTTTTAATCCTCACCTGAGGATACATTTATTGATTTTTAGAGAGAAAGGAAGGAAGAGAGAGAAAAACATTAATGTGAGAGAGAAACATTGATCACTTTCCTCCCATATGTGCCCCAACCGGGGATTAAACCTGCAACCCAGGTATGTGCCCTGACTGGGAAACGAACCTGCAACCTTTTTGGTGTATGGGATGACGCTCCAACCAACTGAGCCCAGCAACCAACATTTTAGCATATGTCTAACACAAAGCCTAATTCACTCCTGGCACAGCCTCTGGTTATAAATAGCTTGAAGTGTTGTTTATCTTGCCTCTACATTTTCAGCACAGATAAACACAAATGTGAATCCCCAGGGAGCCAGAGAGGCATATGCAGGGAACAAAACAATGCTACATGGGTGACAGGTAACCCTGACAACCCCGGCCACACTCCACAGCTGGAACCCAGGTACCGTGACGCAGTATGATCAACAGGACAGCTGTTTTCCCAATTCAGGCTACAAAGGCAATCAGACTTTCAAGCAGCTGGACAGAAAGAACGTAACCTTTTCTTAAACACCCAACAGTGTGATTCTAGGTATATAAGTACTCCTTGGGCACGGGCTTCTCTGAGCACTTCTACCGTGTGGGCTGAGAAACAAGTGCACTAGACACATTTCTGCACAGTTCTCCTTGTGTTTGTGAAATAATGTGCAGTTCAGATTTATGAAGATGGTTTTACTGACTCCATACGAGGAGGGCACGTGTGTGGGGGAGCTTTTAGGTAAATATGCCTTTAAAACCGTGCTATTTCAATCCCCTTACCACGTTGTCTGAGAGGACTAATTTAGGGCTGCGGCCAGTGGATGGGAATGTTTCTCTCTGTGGATGCTACCTGGTTTCCGTGGAGATAGGCTCATTCAGTGTGTGCTCCCTCGTACCGAGTCCTTCCCAACTAACCTGGCCAGTTCGTTCAAACATATTAATCATTCCCTAAGCTCCCTCCACTGAATCACAATGCTTCTCCTGCCTTTCATATTTAGAAATCTGGTAGTCATTTTTCTAATTATAAAAGAACCCATGACGAAAAATGATAGCTCTTCATGTGTATTAAACATGTGAATTTGTCTGTAAAAATTCAGTTTAATCTGACTCCTCTAAAGAACGCTCTTCTTCTGACACACGATGGTAGTCAATAAATGGACCTCATCTGTACACTGCAACTCACATCAACAGGCAGAGCCCAGTTCTCTTCCCCTTGAATCTGGACTGACCTTGGTCCCTGGCCTTGAGCAATAGAGTGTGGCAGAAGTGGTATCTGGGATTTTGAGACAAGGTCATAAGACGCCTTGCAGCTTCTGCCGGGTGTTTTAGGAAGAAGGAGCCACATGAGAGGTTACATAGAGGTGCTCTGGTGGACAGCCCAGCCGAGTTCTCAGCTGACGGCCAGCCTCTGCCACTCAGGTAAATGAGCCATCCTCTGCCACTCAGCCCAGCTCAGTCATCAGATGCCCGCAGCCCCAGCCAACACTGGACTACAACCACAGGTGGGAAGCCCAGGTGAGAACCAACCATCTGAGCAAAAATCCACAGAATGGTGAGAAACAAAAGTGAATTGCTTAAGCCACTCAATGTAAGGGAGGTTTGTTACATAGACATAGGTAACCAGAACACATAGAATCATAGAAATCTAGGTGAGAGGTCCATGAAACTGAACAGGTTACCGAATAGTCCAGCAGAACATCATGAATAGTCCCAGCTCTGAGCGAGCACCCCGCTTTCTCCCCTGAAAGATGAGGCAGGAAAGAGAAGTGGCTCTTACAGGGATAGACTGTCCTGAGTGAGCACCTTGAATATCAATGAGAGACGCAGAATTTATAAAACTCGCCGTCTCCTGTTGGGATGTAGTGGGCAACTAAGCAAGAACTACTGTGATTTGAAGAGCATTGGTAATCTTGCCTGATTCTTAATAAAATTACTTCATCTGAGCATTATACTTCTCAAATAAATCTGGTAGTCATTTTTCTAATTATAAAAGAACCCATGACGAAAAATGATAGCTCTTCGTGTGTATTAAACATGTGAATTTATCTGTAAAAATTCAGTTTAGAAACAACTTCTTCATACCTATTGCTTAAAACGAAGGGCAACCATGTTGTGGTTGAAACTGACCATGAAATAAATAAGGGCATCCTCAGAAATGACAACATGCCCATTGGAAAAAGTCTCCCAAGCAAAGGTTTTGACAGAAACAATAAATGGAGGGTAGTTTCCTACCACAAAAAAGTATTTCACATTGAAAATCATGCAACCCTTCTTCCTGGCAAGGCAGCATTTTTCATCTAGATCATGTTAGTGAGATTTAAGAATCTGGTGTTGGAGGACTTGCCGGATTCAAAACAAACCCAAGACTGTTCTGGCAAATGAGAAATGTGTTTGTGATCCATGCAACTTGGGGAAAGTGTCAAAGGACAGGATACAGAGCATCTGGCTGGCTGCTTGCAAGTTACATCCCGGGAGGAATGACTTCCCAGGTCAGCTTGCCAATCAGAAGCAAGGACAAGCCCTACACCCACACTCATCTCATTCCCTAGCGTGATCACCAAAGAACAAAAGGTACCCCCATGCACTGGGGAATCACCATTTAATTGGCAGCATTCTTTCTCGGTGGCCATAAAATATTGGTGCGTCTTACGATCCGTGGCATCTTCTACTCAGTGAAATATGGTTGTTAACCTTTGAAGACACCATTCCCCTCTCCTTATCTTCTGCGATGCCCCTCCCTCCCGGTCCCCCATCTGCTGGAAGTCCACCTCAGCCTCCCCCGCATGGCCCATTCATCAGGACTCTGCTCTAGACCGTGTTGCTTCTTACCCTCCCTCCCCTCTCTCCTTGGCTTGGCTCAGCCGCTCTCCTGGCTTCACTTGCCACCTGGATCACGATGATCCCCAGGTTTATACCTTGAACCTAGATCTCTCTTCTGAGACCAGACTCTCCCACTGGACACATTCACTTAGGTCAACCCACACGGAACCTGCCTTCCTCCCGGGTAAACTCATACTCCAGGCTTCCTCATCCCAGTGAAAGTTGTCCAAGTCATTCCAGACTCCTCCCTCGTCTCCACAGCCAATAAGTGACTGGGCTCTGATCACTTTATCTATCAACTATCTTTTGAGCCTGTCTACGTTTCTGCCATTAAGTCAGTTCAAGTCACTCTCATCTCTCAGCATCCTCCTGGCTGGTCTCCCTGTCTGCTATCGGTTCTCTTCACAGCAGCCAGGACGCTCTTTCTAAACACAAATGTGATTCTGTCATGTTTTTGATTTCAGGTCTTTGTAGCTACTGTCCCTTCTGCCTGGAACACTCTCACTTTCATTCCCTTCCCCAACCACCACCACCACTCCTGCACCTGGTGGAATTCAGTTCATCACGCAAGTCTCAACTCAGACACCACCTCTGTCAGGAAGCCTAGTTTGATTTCTCTTGGTTGACCTGTCTTCTAAGTTCCCATCACATCCTGTTCTTACTCCTATTATAAAACTGCATATCTACTTGTCTGTCTCCCTGGTGAGACTGTTCGTTCTCCTCCAAGTGTGCCTGTTTGGTTCAGTGTTGTCTCTCCAATCCATAGCACTACACCTGGCATGCTATGGAATGAACAAATCAATACATCAGTGAGAAGATGGGCCTGAGGGAACAGGTAAGTCAGGATATGAACGGCGTACAGTGCCTCAGGATGGATGAGTTTAAGGAGAGACCTGGTCTCCAGTCCAAATGCAAGAACCTGGGTGTCTACATTGTAGGAAGCTGCATTGTCAGCCTGACTTGAGGAGTTTGCTGACCTGCTCCGAAACATTCCCCTAATTCACTCTGATCCAGATGGATGCTGAGCTGAAAGTTTAAAGACGTGTTTAAAAAGAAGAAATAAAGATAATGAATATCAGAAATTACCTAATGATACATAGGTTCTCCTTAAAGGAATTAAAATCTCACTCAAATATGGGTCACCAGCCTTCTTGTGGAGAAGATACTGAGCATGAGCCAACAGCGCTGGCACCTCTACCTGAGTGGGGCCACCTATTAAAGCAAGGGTTTGGAGCCGA